ATGAGGAAGAGGAAAAGGAAGAAGCAACAGTTTCGAAGAAGGTTTAGTTAGTACACGTATTTTGCTCGAAGAATGCATGCACAATGAGAATCAGATTTGATAAATTAATTTTGATTTTTGGATATTTGAGTTGCTTTTTTGGGAAAAAAATAATTTTCTCAAATTACTCGTATTTTATACTTACTTGAAGAAAAAATTTTACAATATTGAAAAATCGTTGATTTTTGCTGACAATTCAGCAATAATGCTATAACCAGAACCGAAACCAAAATAAAAATTGTTGTGGTTTTGGTTTTAATTATTTTTCTTTCGATTTATGGAAAAATCCAAAATAGATCCGGAGAAATGATTGATGAATGATGGTATTTGATGATATTATTCGACAATATGTATGAAATGACAAAATGAAGTGAAAATAAAATGATGAAAAACGTTTGAAATTATGTTAATAATATGAATTTCGATCATAACCAAAACCAAAATGTCTAGAAAATTAGAAAAAAACTAGAACCAAAACCAGAATCAATCAAAAACCAAAACCGCAACCAAAACCGATATTCTTTTTGGTTACTTAGCATCCCTGCAATTCAGCATCTAAAACTAATCATCAAAACGTTTGTATTCTTATAAAAATATGTGTATTTCTGCACTTGCAGTTTTAACAAAGACAGTTGTTGATTTAACTTGATTCAGCCTTATAAATCAATAGATATGTATATGTGACCCGCCAAGCAGAAAGGTACCACAAGTCGGAAATTTTTTTCTCCATTTTATGATAAAAATGAAAAGTAGACAATATTTCCTTTAAAATGAGACCAGAACGAAGTTCCTACCTATAAAATTCATTGAGATATGCTTATGTGAAGGTGAAGTATTGAAAAACCATATTTTCAGAAAATCAAGTTAGAAGAAAATCAACCAAAAATGCATTCAAACTCTTTTACCTATATTAAGTGAACAAAAATGGACTTATTTTATGAAAAATATGTTGAAAAATGATGAAAAATATAAAATTAAATATAAATCAAAATGATAACTCATTTTTGCAAACTTTTGGCCTCACAAAACATGTTTGATTGAAGCTACTGATTTAAGGTACCCTCAACTTTAAGCACAGTTTTACCACACATAGGAGTCGATTTTGTGGTTCTACCTTCACAATAGTAAAGCTTAGATGTTTTGCCATCAGAATTTGCCATAAAAAAATTTTTGTGTATTTTGACTTTTTTCACATTTTTGCCTCTAACTCAAGTTTTTGTTTTCCGACTTGTGGTACCTTTCTGCTTGGCGGGTCACATATTTTCTACCACATTTTATTTACAACAAACCATTCATTCAAATTAATGATCTAGCCATGCCCCTGGTTATTGAGTTCGAGCACCTAGTGGAGCACACCCTTAAGTTAACTCACAATCAGTTCAGTTTCTGTTTGTTTGTGTGTCGATTTTAGATACTATTTCTGTAATTTATTTTTCTCCCTAATATTTTTGAACTGCAAACGCACATTATCCCCGCGAATTATGATTGTATTATATTTCAATTTCTATTACATTGTAATATTCAGAAAATACAATGTTCAATATTTGGACTCGAATTCAAATCATGAATCAATTTTGAAAAATTAACACTAATTTTTTAGCTTACCTCTTAAAAAATACTTTTTCAACAAACATTAATTAACATGGATAAAAGGAATTTTAATGAACAAAAATTGAAATAAATATACATGTATATATTCCAAAATTTAGTATGGTTAAGCAATTCAGAATTATATCTAAATAATTAATTGAAAACCCTACGATTAATTACAGTTGACGATTTTTTTTTTTTTTTTTTCATAATAAAGGGTAACAAAGCTATAGGTATCCTTCTCCATTTTTCCTGCAGACTGATTATTAACTAACGTGACAAAAATCTCCTTTTTCGAGAATAAAACGCGAGGCATGTTTCAAAAAATGAAAATTACATGGTAATTCAAGACAATAATTATAAACAAACGAATGAATTTTCAAAATCGAGATGATATCATTTTACATATATAATTTAATCCCAGTCTGCAGTTTTCTTACAAGAAAAGTAAAATAGAAAAATAATTTTTTTTCACTCTTGAGGCACCATATTTCTTCGTCACTCGAGTTAGATTGTATCATCAAAATCTTCTGCAAATTAAATAATAAAATTCACATTGGCTATAGAACAGTGACGAAAAGGGTCAAGATGCAACGACGAAAAATAAGAAAAATTTAAATCAATAAATAAATGAAGATGCCTATACTGGTATCCTACAAAATAGCTAGGTATAATTACCACACATTGTATAAAAAAATTGAAATTATCCTTAACTTTCATTTCGAACCGATCACGTACAGCACATGATTGTATTAGCAGGTTTTTTAACTACTTGGTTGCAGTGCATAAAAATCTTAATCCTACAGAGGCCGTTGAATTTTTTTACGAAACAAAATTGGTTTTTAAAAAAAACGGTTACAGATAAAATATCTTCAACATAAGAAAATTATCTACTTTTCATAAGGACAGAAATTTGTTGTACCTATCCGATATTTTTCCCAAATTAATGGAAAACTTTGATAACTTCTGTCGTATTTAATTCGTATTGAATGTCTCAGTTTTACGTTCTGAGAATCAAATACTTCAATCTCTTGAAAACTTTAAATATGGGTATACCATATTTAGTGCTACATTATTTTGGTGACACCCTGTTTCCCTGTAAAATGGGAGGACTTCACACACTTTTCGACATTATTAGCTTTGCGAGGCTACAACTTTGTGAAATTTTCAAGATATGGTTTTATGTTGGTCTAGCATCTCTCAAAACATTCGTATAATGGAATTCAGTATGAACCCCTCATCCCATTTTTTTTGAATTTTTTTTTTGAAAGATTAGTCATTCTACCAAGGGATGACTTCACACGCACTGTTTCAAAAATTATGAAAAATAGAATTGGCTTAAAACAGATTCTTTTCGCGAATAAGTTCAAAAAAGTGTGCAGTGCAGTGTAAAAAGTGTGAGTTAAGTCGCCGTGCTTTACGGTCTTCAATTTTTAAACAAAATGAGAAACTTACTGCATTTAAATATTTTTCAGCATGAAAATGAATTCTTCGTATCTATCTATATCTTCGCCCAGATTCTCTGGGTTGTCTGAAATCCTGTTCTTGCCTAATTCCTTCCACAAACCGAGCGCTATAAATTGTTTTTTGAGTTTCCACATCAGCCTTGCTATGTACTTCAATCTGGACTTTCGTGAAAGGTCAGCTCGACCAGCTCTGCGTATTCTGAGTTACTGTAATAAACTTTGGGACGCGCATGCGAATGTTGATGCAAAAAATTTATATACATGCCTGCATCCGACGAAAAGTCCCAAGTTTCTACTGAACTTTCACGCAATGTTTGTTGATACACCGTAGCTATTTTCTTCTGGTCATCTGACATATTTTTCTCGTCCTTCATCTCGATGAATTCAAAAATAGCTACCTCCGTCTTTTTCTTCTGTCCGGCCAATTTGGCCATACCGCCCATACACTCCCAATCGCACCTTAAGTACTTTATGAAAGTAGCCTTCGCATACTCCTGGGTTCGTTTGATTTCTGTTCTCGACCTCCATCGAGTCTTCTCTTGGTCCGTCTGAGTAACTTCGGAAGACTTCGAAGCGATCTCGTAATTTTTGTTATGGTCTATAGCGAACTGCCTCTTGCTGTAAACTTCCACTGATCTCACCGCCTTATTTAGAAACGTAAATCGTTTGAGTGTATTCATGGTGCGCAGCACTAAATAATGATCAATCTGTTGCTGAAAAGGAGAAAGTATCCATTAATAGTCATGGTTATCTGAACATGAAGGGAAACCAATAAGCTGAGGGTAGGTTTTTGTAGATTTGCGTATCAGGCCTTTCAGTAAGATGAAGTTTTTCTTATTGGGTTCAGAAGGCAGTAAGTGGGTGATTCTCAGAATTCGACAGAATTTCAAGGATAAATTTTTCAATTTTTTTGGTGGCAGAATTTTTTTTTTTTAATTTCTTCAAATACTGTCTGCAATACATTATCCTATGAAATGCATCTTAAATTTAATTTTTTTCACTGCATTAATAACATAATGGCTATTTCCCCATTATCCACGACCAAAGACAACATTTTTCATGCTCAGCTGAAGCTGTAAGAGTCAATTGTTTTTTTGTAATTGATGGTGGCAATATTAATAATTCGAGAAAACCAACTAATATTGCTTTGAAAAATCTTGTGCAGATGATTAGGTTCCAAGATTTTTTCATCCACGACCGAAGACATTAAAAATTTTTAAAACGAAAATTCAGTATAAAACATTTAT